CTCATCTCGTTGTAACAAGTGCTGAGAAGACACTGTTTTCTTCACAGTGGGTGCATCTATACTAGGTGCTTACTGAGGAGTAGACTAATTAGCTCCACAGTAAACATCTCAGCATCTACACATGCAGGGCTATTAGGCTGGAGTAAACAAATGAACTCCACAACAGGGTAGTACTACCCCGTGGCAAAGTTTTTACTCCACAGCACCACACATGTAGACACTGACCCAGCTGGCTGGGCATGAGGGTGCTTCAGTGCAGGGGCTGCCTCCCAGCTAGCCCTGCACTGGAGCACCTTCATGCCCTAGCCAGCCCCTCCACAGCACATTGAGCCATGTCGGAGCAGACCCAGGCTGGCAGGTTGAGCCCCAGGTGTCCTGCCAGCCAAGGCTTCTCTGACCCACTTCAACGCGCTGTGGTCCCATAGCACCCGGGAGCAATAAACTCCAGCATGATTAGCACCAGCGTTTGTCTCACATTAATATGCACATGTAGATAAAACAGTTTGTATTTTTTGTTGTGAGACAGCCAAATGTTGGGTCAAGACAAAGAAGGTTATCTTGTTTGCATATGTTCTGTTTAATGGTTTGATCTCTACTTGTCATCTGACTTTTGGAACATATCGTATGCACTTTGGAACTATAGCATGTACATGCCACTATGCACACATAACCATTTTGTAAACAATTCATGGCATTAATGCAATTATTTTATTTTAATGAAGAAATTCGTCTATTTGTTTTTGGTTTTGTTCAGGATTTTTTACAATGTTTATTCTTTCATCAGCTGTTCATTCAACTGGTCTTTGTTTTGATGTGCCCAAAGTATGATCATGTAAAATGAATAATGCACATGTTCCTAAACATCTTAACTGAGTTGAATATAACTTCACAATTAGTTTGAATGTAGAGATCCCGCTAGATTCCTAATCACTATCTCCCACTTAATTTTTGCTTATGACTCACAAATGTCATGCTGCCTTAGAGCAAATTCAGTGTACTGGCCCATAAACTGTAGAGATAGCCATTCATTGGAATCTAGGCTGCCTGTCCCCAATTTAGAGGCAAAATGTCACATATAGTCCATACATGGAAAAATAATTATGTCTTTTCAGAACTCCTATAATGTAGGTAAGTTTAACATAGTTCTGTGATGAGTCCCACAGTCTAACCTCCCAACTTTCTAACATATGCTTTAAAGGTTAACTTTTAATTCCTTCTTAACTACATATTCTTTTCAATAGCTTACAACATCCCTATCTTACTGAAGATTTCCATCACAGGTTACGTCTACACTGCAATCCAAAAATGTGATTTCAGCTCATGTGGATATGTTAAAAATACTTAGGTACCAGTAGCAGTGTAGAGTAGCCCATGGCATAAGAAGTCCACAAATGGTTGCAAAGACCTGTCCAGGGATATATATAACATGAATGCCTAGTCCAGGCTGAGCTCCATGATAGCATGGTTATATTCTTTTAGGTACGAAAATAACAAGTTTAAAGCTAGTACAGGCATGTATTTGAACTGCAGTGCAAGCATGGCCTTTAAAGATGTACTTTTTTTTTTTTAAACACCTGCAAAAGCCAATGATAAGTTGTACTTAATTATACATGCTTTACATGCAATTAACTGAACAGTTGGTGGTAAGCAAAGAAAAGAAATGTTATGGTTTTCCCACAGTAAAATTAAAGGCTGATATGCTTTCAAATAAGCCGAAACTACAGTAACCCTATTTTCAGCAATGGAGGCAAGCCTCAGATGCATGAACCACACAAACTGGAAAGAGCCAGAATGTTTATTATTGTAATAATAAACATTTATTTATATTTATAAAAATACATATATGTGTGTGTGTGCACACGTGAATGCACACGTGCACATGCTTATTATTTTCCTTTTAGATTAAAAATTACTGTTGTTTTGTCCCAACACGCACTAGATGAAGTTCTTAAGAGAGTTCATCAGAATGAGCCTTGTCAAAGAAACAAATGTTGTCAAAACAGCAAGAGGTTTTCATCAAAGCTTTGGGATTTTTTTCCTTTGTCTTTTATGATAACAGCTCCACAGACTAACAATATGTTAAATCACTGCTCATCTCTCAAGAGCAATTTTGAAAAATAGTTCAGGCTAGATTAGAGCCAGGTATATATGGATGAAGAAAATGCAGTGACCTTCCACAGGGTAACCAGGAAGATAACCATTGCTCTCTGCTCAATGCCTTCCATAGCATTAGCCTCAGAAATGGGATGCTCCCTCAATCCTTGCTGAGTGCAGAGGGCAGGAGGCTATTGAGTGATCACAGCCCCCCTTCCATATGTGCTCAGCAACTTGCAATTCCCTGGAATGGCAGAAGGAATACTGAATTACTCAGCCAGGCTTCTTCTGCGGCCTCTTGCTACAGTCTGTCACCTTTCAAACACATCCGTATCACATGGCTATGCCTTTGAAGGTATAATCTGTTTGTTTATCTTACTTTAGTGTTTTGTACCGCTGCCTATCACCATAGCATCTCAGCCTAGTTATCTGAATAGCTAGTTTACCTATCTGTAATAGTCCTTTTTATTATCATAGATACCAAAACAAAAACAGATTTTTTATTTTGTAAGCATGAATGTAAACTGTTCTAGAAGCTGTTATCCTCAGTTTGTGGCATCACAGTTAGCTGCAGCTTTGCAAACAAGAGATTAGGATTTTTTCTGAAGTGGAAAAAAAATGATTCCTACAAACTAAAGATCTTGCTATGTGCAAAAATCCTTAGGAACAAAAGCAGGACGAAAAATAATGCAGACGTGCTGAGCATAATTTGAAATGTTTCCTACCAGGCAATAGCAGCTCTTCAAGGATCAGTTCCAACAACTCCAATACTATTTCATTTTCTTTTAACACCTGTTATTGAGCAGCTAAGGAGGCTATTTATTTATTTTAAATAAGAAATCCAATTTTTCTTAGCTCTTGCTGAGTCTGCTACTTTGACCTTCCTAGAACGTTCTTAAGTAGGGAGGCTGGCATTCTAAACTTTACTAGGCACACCAGGCTTTCAACCTCATGGAACAGTCTTCTCATGTTTAAACATGGCTGGGTGAGAACTGGTCTATAAAACAATTTGGGCTGTCAGTGGAACTTGGCCAAATGGTATTTGAACAGTTTTAAAAACATTGATTCAGCCATTTGTCTCTAGACTTAAATATTTTTAAAAGAATGGTGATCATTCCATTTCATCTTGTCCATGCCAGCCTGTCGAACCAAAATGTGACCTAGCTGAGCCATAACGACGTTTAAATCATAAATAAGCACCAGTGTTTTTACATGTGGTTGAAATCCTGGTATGGGCTGGGACATAATTTCTTATTAATCTTCAACCTGTTTTAACAAGTATTTGAGCACAGGTGTTTATGCACCACAATGCTGACAGCAGTGATTAGGAAAATAGATTGTAGTAACTGTGTTTCTCACAGCCAGTAATCTAGGATATAAAATAGAGCACTCCCCAGAGAAAGGACTGCAGGTTTAATTTCATTGCTGTTAGATGAGACATGGACATCTAATTCATTTAGATGCTTTTGAAATGTTGACCCAGTATCCCTTAATGATTTAAATAGTAGACTTTATTTTACTGGAAAAGCTACTATCCTGTTCATTTCAACCACATTTCAATTAAAAAAGTAAAACATTAAAATAGGTGGGTTAAACAAAGAGTTTGTAAGTAAGGCTCCAAGAGTGGATCCAGCATTTTGCAAAGGGAGGTACAGGAGCAGTGACTAGTGCTAAAGGACTGGTTGCACTCCCTTCTCCTAGCCTCCTTCCCTCCCCACCACTGGGGTGGACAGACCGTATCACAGGAGCAGCAGCTGAGGACATTTTCAAGTGCCCAAAGCAGCTAAGAACTCTCCTTTTCCCCCTCTCTAATTAGAGACACATCCCCATCCCTCCTCTTCTCTCCTTCACTTCCCCACATGCCTCTGCCTCTGTTCCTATTGTCACAGGGGTGAGGGGAACTCCTGTTCTACTCCAGCTAGGCTGCATGGGCTCCAGACTCAGCCTAGGACAGTGGAAGTGGAAGTGGCAGTGGGTGGATGGGTTGTCTCTCCCCATGCCTTTCCATAGACTGGCAGGGAACATCCAGAAGGACCTGGCAGGGAGGGGGAATTTACCTGCCTACTGCCACTGCCACTGTCCCAAGCTGAGCCCAGAAGCTTCCCTTGACCCTGGGACAGCAGAAGTGGCAGGCAGGGGATGAGGAAATGGGAGGGGAGGGATGGGAAGAGGAGAGGAGGGGACATGCCTCTGAGCATGAAGGGGAAGGAAGAGGGGAAATTTTACCTTTTTGGGGACTTAAAAAAGTCCCTAGCTGCTACTTTTGCTGCATGGTCAAAAAGAGGAGAGAGGCCATGGCACTGCACCCCTTCTGGAACTGACCCTGTAAGGTGCTATATGCAAACAATGAAATTCTGTGTTTGTGTCACACCAATATTTGCTTTAAGGATGCAATCTTGTGTTCCTGAAATGCTAGAGACAGAATTCTGGGTCGACAGCTGTACTCTTCAGCAAACCAGGCAACAGACCACATTTAGAAAAACCCAACACAAACGGCAATCTGTTTATTAAACAAAGGAATCTTCTGCTGTATAGAGAGTTTACAAGAGAGGTTAAAACAAAATGTAGGAAAAGAAATAACTGAAGTTACTAAATAAGCACTGAGCCCCAGAGAAACACTCCTGCTAGCATCAGAAAATGATCAGGAATTTATCAAACAGTTCACCTCCCCTCAGACCTGCTACACAGGGATCAAAAACATTCACTGTAATTTATACCTCTAGAAAATAAATGTCGAGGAAGTGGCCTGGGCCAAGCCCCAGACCAATCAGTGCTATTCTCTGTGCAGTCATTAATCAAAGATGTGGGCAGCGGGGGAGGTAAAATTCAATTCTGCGTATACACGCACTACCAGCCTTGGTAGACAGGAGAGTTCCTGATTAACCTGTCATCACTGCTAAGGTTACCTTCAGACAACATGCTTAAGGCCTCATCAATCTGATGGCTGCTGGCTATTGTTGTCTTCTTTGAGTCACGGAGGCTGTTTTGAAAATTAACAGAGGATCCGATAGGTGAGGGGTAGGCATTTTCACCAACAGTTGATGTGGACAGTGATTCCCAAGGAATTTCTCTTTTCCGCCACTTCAGGTCTAGTTTCCATCCAGTCCAGCCATAGAAAGCTAAGGTGAAGAGAAAGCTTTGCATTGGATTTAGTACCCCCTGGAAGAAGGAAAGAAGAAAATTGCTGTGGGGATTATATCGACACAGGAATTTTAAGTCCAGTAAAATAATGTGTGTGCATTAAGGAACACTCTTCGCACAGTGAACAACTGCTTTCTCACAGCCACCCAACCAACAGCTCAGTTCCTAGACTTGACCTCTTTAATGCTAGGTCAGTGAGAACAGAGTCCTATCATATGATTAGATTTGGTTGTTGGATGAAAAGGAAGGCACCCTTCACAGCATGAGTTTATTCCTCCATAACACTGCTGGCCAGTTTACTCAGTCTGCCACAGGGATGAAAACAATTAATAATGACACTTCACCATTTGGTAGACATAGAAGCTGTGCTTGTGAAGAAGCTCTGGTCACTCTGCCTGGTGTAGGGCTCCCCCTCTGCTGGAGCCCACAGCAGCTGACTGCGGCACACTGCAGGGAGAGCTCCTAACTACTGAACACCACCAAAGGCACAGCTATTGCTGTGTTCAAGGCTCCAAAGGATGGATCTGGCCCATGGGCTGCTGACCCCTGGGTTAGACTATGAGGGGAACTGGTGAATTCTCCACCTCTCAATATCTCAGTCAAGACTGGATGCCTTTCCAAAAGGTAAATTTTTACTAAACACAAGGTATGTTTTAGTCAAGTTAAATTTATTGGGCTCAACATAGGAGTGACTGGGTTAAATTTAATGGCCTGTAATACACTCCAGAATAAATGTTGGTGCCTTCCAGGCTTGGGAACATGTGGCAAGCAAAGAAGTTATTCATGGCTTGAGTTAAGAGAAAACTGCTACTAATAGATTTTAAGTGTTTTCACAGGCTAATAACTGATACTACTTAATTAAAGCACTCCCCCAAATAGCCCTCCTCCCCCAATGAAAATTATTTCATTAGTTCAAAAAGAAAAACAAAGAATTAGGTTTCCCTGAGAGGTTCTGCAAATATTGAAGGTCTTCCAAAATAAGCTATCCTGAAAAAGGAATGCGCATCATTATAACAGGGAAATTCCTTTCTGAAGAACATTATACTTCAAAGGGGGGAAAGGAGGAATCATAGTACAACAATGATGCAAAACCCAGCAGTATTGTTCTTGCTATCTTTATGATCATTGCTGCAATACTACCATATATTTTCATTTGAGTATTTTTTGCCTGTATACGCATAACAGCTATTTTCTACTTAGTAGACTTACAGAGTGGAGAGTCTAAGTAGGTTTACAGAGCAAAGTATAACTTTACTTATAAATATAGAGAGAGATAAGCATCTAAATTTTTGAACTGCACTCATTGGTGACTGGTTGAAACTCTGTAGCCTGTATTATAACAGAGGTCAGACTGCATTATTATAAATCAGCAGGGTGCGCTCTGGCCATAAAATTCTATGAATCACCTTGATTTCACTGGGGAAACACAGTGTGAGATTGTTTTTTGGTACACAAAGTTTCATATAAAGAACAGTTCCTCTGATTTTGAAAATGTACTCTCTTGCTCTCTGTTTCTCTCCATTTGTATGGTGGGGAGAATTATATTTCCAAAGCCATAAAACATTATATTGATGCTCCTTCCTATCCTATAAAAACTAATATAAATCATAGTTGACCTACCATTATAATCCATGTGATCAGTGCAGCATTTCTAACATTTTTCAAGTGGCTTCCATTGATATCTGGCTGCATTTCAAGGTAGAACAAAAGGATCTCATTGATGATATTTGATGACCAGCTGTTCAGGGATAAACAGGACAAGACAGGCTTTTTTTTTAATTCGTGATTGTTTCTTTTTAAAAGCATAATTGGGGTGATAGTTGGCAGGGAGACAGATAAGGTTGGGGTTTTTAATGCTAAATCTTGTAGCAGGTCTGAGAGAATATGATTAAAAGACAAAGACCATTCTTTAAACCACACTGAGTCAAAGGAACCAACCTAAGTGATGAAAATTAAATCCTATCACCTAAATACAGCTGCAGTGTCCAAAGATAAAGAAACTAAATGAATATAACATTGCTGAGCATCACCCCACTACCGCTACCAAAAAACAAAGCAGCAATATTAAAATGGACTTTCAAAGTGACACTGAAACAGGATTGCAGCTGACTGAAAATGCCTGAATGCACCAACAAGGAATAAAAGCAATATCTGGGTAAATTAGGATGATGCACAACCAAGCATCATCAAGGTAAAGGAATGAATACTTCTCCAGCATTGGTAAGAGCTGCTGCTCAGAAAGCCCACATTTTGGTCCTAGTGAACTGTCTTCTAGTTCATATTTTCTTTGCATTTCTCTTGTATATTCATATGCAACTGGCTTTCTGTATCATATTTTTTTGGAACAGATTGGCTATTTTCTTCTTGTAATTAAATTTTCCCACTGAAAAATCCTCATGTTTTCATCCTCCTCTCTGTCCTCCAGTATATTTCCTCTCTTTTAGTATCCCCACAGCTGCCTGCTTTGATAAAATGATCCCATGTATGACCTTACACAACCCACCTCCTCATTTTGTGACAATGTCAATGTATCTACATCACTATTTAAGGGTAGCTTTGAAGGTTGCCCTCAACTAACTTGAAACATATGAGTTACCCCTCCCTGTCTATGTTACCTTCCTACTGGTGTGCAAAAAAGGGAACAAGAAACAGAGGCCTTCTAGGTATTGGTGTGCTCACTGCTTGTCTTTCCTGTGTTTGGCTCTAGTTACAGATAACAGAGACAGGAAGAAGGGTGTCAAAAGGCTGCAAGTCAGGAGCAGGGACTTACAGGATTGTTGCTAGCCAATTTCCTGTATTTGAACCCTACAGCTTCTGGGGAAGTTCTGAACACAATGTAGGGAGGGGTGGGCTAGCAGCAGACTCAGGCTCTGGTCTGGCTGCTCAGCAAAGCTTTTATGGGTAGGCTAAGATGTTATTGGTGGTTTGGGGCTAGAGGATAGCCATGAGCAACAGGATGGAACATATTCTGCCATTATTGTAGTGTTTAGATAGGTTCTTCAGGGCAGAAACTGTCTTTTGCTAGGAATTTGTATGGTGGCTTGCACAATCAGGGCCTAGTCCTATCCAGTATCTCCAGGCATGAATGTAATGCAAATAATAAGCAATCATTTCTTCTTCCACATGGAGGTTCTCTTTATGTTCAGCAGTTTACCTGTGTATTCAATACCTCTAAGCTATGTCTTTATCAGGGAAGGGGCATCATGCAGAGATACCCTCTATGCTAGTTTTAAAACCAGAAGCAATATAGTGGTGTTAATTCAGCACTGTAACTGGGCTTCCAGCTTCAGTGCTATACCATGTGATGTGAATGAGTACACTGCTTCTGTGTCAGGAACTAGCATGCTGTCAATTAGGTGTTGAGGTGTTCATACAGTTTCACCTTGGGCTGTGCAGACATACCTTTAGTTTTCAATAGACTGTTTTGTCCCATATGAGGCACTGCTTTAATACAAGATGTTACATAAGATTAGGTAAAAGATACTGGTCAAATCTATGACTCAAGGAAGAAAGACCATGTGTATTAAGGTAACACAATATATCCAGCAGCAGTGCCTTCCAGCCTGCTACAGTACTCCATGTGGGATGTCTCCTAACCTGTTTAGTATGTTTGTAAAGAACTGTAGACAACCAAATTAGCATAGACCAGGGGTTGTCAACTGGGGATACGTGCACCCCTAGAGATACTTAGGTCAGGGGGCACGCAGGCAGGTGGGGATAGAGTGCATCCCAGGGTGTGGCAGCAGCATCTCTCCTGTCGCATTCCCACTTTTTGCCTCTTACCAGGGGGAAGGAGAGGAGCATTGCCGCTCTCGAAGCAAGCAGCAGCCACGCAGAGCAGAGCAGAGCGTCTCTATGGCTGGAGGGGGATGGGGGTGTGTTTCTGTGGCCGCTCCCAGGAGGGAGCAGAGCCACGCCAGGGGGGCAGCAGCACCCCTCTGCAGGCCACACAGGCACCATCCGGCCCGACGGGCACATGTCGCACATGGCAGCTACCGCACCCTGCTTTCCTGTTGCCAGTTGCACATGCAGCTCTTCAGACTGCTGATGGGCAGTGCAAGATTGACCAGGAACAAGGCCCACCAGCAGCCCATGGAGCTGCATGTACAACCAGCCACAAGAAAGCAGGGCATGGTCGCATGGGGTAGTAGGTGGCAGTGCCACGGAGTAGTGGGTGGTGCCACCGGCACTGGCCACCATGTGCAAACCTCTCCCCCTCCCCTGGCTGCCACCACCAGAATGGGTACATGTGTTAAAAAAGGTTGAAAACCCCTGGCATAGACTAACTGGCACTCATTCAGAAGTGGTAATTAGCCAGTTTGAAGCATCTTGCAGTTATAGCAACACTGCTTCTGATTCATAAGGCCAGCTGTATAGAGCACCAAGGCTAAGAAAGATAAATTTACTATGTAGACATGGCCTGATGGGCAGATGACACTGTAAAGAAATAAAGTGGTTAGAAACTCACAGCCAGAAGATATTAAAATTATGCTTATTGAGATTAACCATTGCAATCCCTGTATTTTCTAGCCATTGCCCTAGAAACCATCATCCATAACCTGTGCTTGCCCATGTTTTTATCATTTTTCTGTGAATTTACCATTTCCATGTTGCTCAATTTTTTTTCCAACATAGAGTAAATATTTTTTGTCACAAATATGACAGATACCTTACTGCCTCAGTGGATAAATTACATCATTTAGAATTTAGAAGATATTTGGCTTGAAACAATATGCCTCTTACCAAATAACGAACACCAGCATAATTTTGAAAAAGCGGATCTGAATCTCCGTTCCCAGGCGTCTTTCATTTTCTGTATAGATTCCTTGTCTTCCTTTCAGTAAAGAGGCAACTGGAAAGCATACAGTTATGTATGTGAATACATGGCTGTGGTTTTTGTTTACAGATATAGGATCCAGAATATGTGTGTTTGGTGATGAGCAGGGGGAAGGGCTGTAACTTAGTTCCTGATAAAATGAGAGTATTTAAGAAGATGGAGAAAGCCTCTTGAAATAATCTTCTGCATCTATTTAGTTACTAAAGAAAACAGCAACATCCAAGCAAAAGTGGGTGATCTCATGAGATATTCCCATTGGCTCTCCTCTTCTTCCTCCCAAAATAGAAAAATAAAGTTGAAGTCACCATACCAGTTTTAGTCTTTTAAAAACCTGATTTAGTGCTTATGTCAGGTATGTCATTATGCAATTGTTATTTTTTAATATCTGAGTACTTCACTTTTAAATCTCTAAGGATTCTGGTGCCTGCAAAGACAGACAGCTAGGTTGTATGAGAGACAGACTGTCATAAGGACACAAACACTGTGTGTTCTCTCATAGACACCTCAATTTTGTCCTTTCTTGTTTCTTTCTTTTGAGTAATCTAAAATAGGAAATTCAATAAAAGTATATGGCTGTTCTAGTAATCACCACTTGTTCATTTTGGAACAGGGAGACCCAAAATGCTGCCTGCAGAAGCCCTCATTTATTAAAGATACTCATGTGGGGACCATACACCTATAGCACTAAGGTATGAAGACAACATCAGAGTGGTCTTCCTTATTAGTAATAGATAATGTGCTGCATCATCTTGAAGCATTGTCCAAGTAGCAAACGTTCTCATCTGTATCACAGTTTGTATCTGTATCATTATTTGCTAACTATACACCTGTTGCCATCTCTAATGCAGATTATTTCAGTGTCCTGTAGGCAAGGCTATGCCTTTGAAACATGCAGAAATAGAATAGCAGCTGGTGCAGAACTTAGTTACCAACCTGTCAAGTAGCGCAGGAGTAGCCAACCCACAGAACGTGTGCCACAACCGGCACAGACAACCTCCATGCTTAGGACATGGCCAAGTGGGGAGCAATAAAGCAGATTAAGCAGAAAGCAGAGCACCAGATTGGGCAGGGGACTGGAGTGGCATCCAACTATGATAGGGAGCTTAATTTATGGCACACCTGAAGTAGTGTTTCATGTAGACATTGAATTACATTTGTGATCTGTGCGGACTTCCAGCAGTCTCATGGTTGAAGGTTAAAGAAATTGTTTTGACCTATAAAGTCCAATATTGTTTATGTACTAAGTGTCCAATAGAACCCCCTGCCTTGCCTCCTGATACCCACCTCTTCCCACACCCCTTCTCCTTGTACAGGATCCCTGTGATCTTCTAATGTGTGTTTGCTGACAACTCTCTCCTTGTGTTAATGGAAGGGATTCTTGACCAGGCCATGCCCCCTTCACCCACCAGGCTGGATTGGAGGAAGACCACACCCTCTTCCCCATACAGCTAGACTGGGACTGGGCCATGCCCCGCTTCTCTCCCACCCCCAAGGCTGGACAGGGGCCAGGCTACACCCTCTTCCCCCCTCCCACCCGCCATGGCTGGCCATGCTCCCTTGCCCCTAAAGAGCTAGATCAGGCTCCCCGACCAGATTTGACTTGTAGAGGCACTGGGCACCACTAATCTAGCCTGTGGGGCAAAATTTGAGCTCCATGGGATACTACAATGTGAATAATAGCAATAGAATTAAATACAGCTTACCTGTTTTCCTAACCTCATCCTTGGAAGTGGGGACAATTGAGGGATATATGGGTTCTGATAAGATGAGGGTTGTTTTCAAAATGAAATTGAGTGTTTTAGGAGTTTGCTACATATTTTAATGTATGTAAATTTTAACACAAATGTTGTAGGTTTATATTAGATAATCCACCTACCATTTCAGTAGGTGTAATATGATGTTTGGAATTGTTTGGATTTCAGGTTTATCTCTGCAGTGTTTGTAAAAATAAGTTGTGTGAGACCATCAGGCCTCAGAAAAAGTTTTGTCAAAGCCTAATTTCAGTCCTTTGCTCCTAATGTAAAAGTCACAAGTAACCAAATATTAATCATATTTGGCATCTACAAAATGGCTTCAGGGAAAAGGAATTGGTATGTTATTATCACATCTCAGAGATTTAGGCCTTGTTTATAGGTATGTGAACAACTTGAATTGTACCAGTTCAAACAACATAGTACAGATATTTAAAAATGTTATGAGGTATGGTATGCACCCCAGTGCAGCTTACCTCAGCTTCAAGGAATAATGTATCTTTGCCTATCAGGAGCAGGATTTTGTACTAGCACAATTATGTCAAGATCCAGCCTGTAACTGGGGCAAATTTTGATTGTAGCTAGAGCTTTGTTTTTGGTATCTATTCTAATAAAAATTCTAATACTGTATATTGCGTTCTCCTAACTAGCTGTATCCCTACATAAGTAGCTCCTGTAAAACTTACAGCAGTGTGTGTGTGTGTGTGTGTGTGTGTGTGTGTGTGTGTAAAATAATGCAAGAGTCAGCCAATATATATACATTAATCATTTACACTAATTTATGAGGGCATTTAGGAACTTACCTGCTGTTATTGTCCTTCTAAATAGGATTGGATTGGCAACCAAAACTAGCAGAAGTGGAGCATAGGTAGTGATATAATGAGGAATCGCATGCTCCAGGCCATTTTCACAACTGAGAAGAGACCAGGAAAAGCTTAATTCTTATTCATATCCTATAGTCTGGCCTATCTACCTCTTTCATTAATAGGTAAAAATGTGGAACAAAATAAGGAGCTTCAAAAATGTTTGATGCATTAATCCTACCCAGCTTAAGTGAGTTACAAAAATGGATTATTCAAATGAAATCTAGCTTTTTTGTATTTCTCCCTTATCATCCGAAATTCCATTTCAGTCACTTGAATGGAATTAAAAAATGATTCGAAAAAAAGGCTGGGGGAGAAGAGAAGTATGATAGATGAGTAACAGTCCTTTCCCAGTATGATCACATCCCTCCCTTGCGGGAGTCTTATCAGCGTGGCCATGTCACAGTGCTACAGCAAAAGCAAGCATTTATTTCACATGGCCTGTTTCCTGAAGACCTAGAAAACTCTCAGGCAGTTATCTGTAGAGTGATAATGACACCATGAGCCATGTCAATAAACTGTTTAATTTATATTTACCAAAGTTCAAAAAAGTTATGCTATTCATTAGTCAACCAAACAATGCACAACAAGTTAAGAGCATCTTTATGATTCCCAAATTGTTTCTTTTGGTGCACAGTAAGAATAAAGGAGGCTGAACTAGGATGCGTGACTGGTGAGAGAGTGAGTTTTGAGAAGGAATTTAAAGAATAGTGAGGTCACACAAGAAGGAGATAGCTTGTTTGCGGTGTAGGGTTTAAATGTGATACCAGACAACAGAGCAAAGAGTAGGAAGAGAAGGTGGTGGAGGGGAGTTGATGGACAGACGTGACATTTTTTATTTATTCAAGGCTGAATTTTTCTCTCAGTTTCAAAGTAACTATTCTTAGTAACCAAAGTAACTAAACTGAATGCAGTTGAGTAATTTTGGATTTATAGTCCAGTAACCGAGAGCAAAATCTGGCCCCTGACCGCCAAGGCTGACAGAGATACATTCAAGCAATCACAGAGATGATTATGTTAAAATCCTGCTTACCTAGCAACTGAAGGATAGTAAAGCATTGCAATTCCCTCCACACACAGCAGGACTGCCAGGCCCCAGGCCATCATGTGATACAACACAATTGTACTGGAAGCATATTAAATAGAAAGAAGCTGCTAATGACACTGCATCACACACATTTGGAGTACTTTAGAGTTTCATACAGGCAAGCTCAAAAAAGAATTTTATATATATATATATATTTATATAGTTAAAATAGTGCAATATAACACCAGCCATACAGTAACTAAGGAAAGGAAAAACAAGAAGGAAAAAATAAGAGTTTGGCTATGTTAAAACCTATGTTCAGGTTTAGACAGGGGGACTATCCTTTCCTGTTGATATAGATGTTAACTCTCTCCTGCCCTCCAGATACCCTCTCAGTCCCTCCCTTTTTGTGACACAGTGGGCACAGCTACACAAGACACTTTACTGCACAGCAGACCAATATGCTGTGCAGTAAAGCATCACCATCTACATACGCATGACAATAAGGGTGCAGTAGGCTAATTTACTGCACTGCCAGATAGTCCCATCAGATACAAGTGATATCTGGCAGCACAGTAAATTACTGTGCTTAAACACATGTGTAGATGGTGACATTGGGATTAGTTTACTCCAGCTCAAATTGAGACAGAGTTTATTCAGTCGCATTAATTGCACAGGTAGACACACCCAGGGAGAAAAAGCTTTAGGCAGGAAAAGCAACATAGAAAAGGCAGCAAAGAGCCCCAAACATTTTAATCAGTAAACTTCTGCCTGGTTGTGGTTAACAAATCATAAATTTTAACTATTATGATCAGATTCTAATCTCCTCTAAGTAAATGAGGGCTCAATCCAAAGCCCTTTTAAAGTCAGTGTGAGTCTTTCTATTGACTTCAGTGATCTTGTCCTAAGAGTTTTTTTTCCACTGATTTTGCTAGGAGCAAGATTTAGCTCATAGTGCCTTAGGCCAGAACTGTGTATCATATATATCTATGAAGCACTTGGATCACAGCCCACAGTAAATAATGTGAATGTTATTACAAAGCATAGCCTTGTCAGGCACTGGGAATTTAAGTAGCCTCTGATGGAAATAATTAGGTTAAAATATGTGAAGAATTTTCATAATATACACTAGCAATTGAGTAGCATAGCTTGTCACTGTTTGGCAGTTTTATAATCCCTGAATGTCAAAGCTTCATATGCAAGTAAAAGTCAAGTTTGTCATGTTCAGGCTGGATTAAATGTACTTTAAATATAAGAATTTCCCTTACTTTGGAGGAGAACCGCCAAATGAGCCATAACACCGATATCTGTGCACCCTGTATTGTCTATGAATAATATTATATAAATCATATCATATAATATCACATTTAGAACAGGAACATTTAAGGTCTTTTGCTCTTTGACTCCATCAAAGGGGCAGCCAACTTGGACAATCTTTATACTTTGTCTGTAGCATCACAGCATGACTAGTTTTAAAGGGCATAACTATTCCAGTAATGGCACTACAGATGGATATAGTTTGGGTTTTTTCTCATTTGAGTTGATTTAATTTTTAAGACATCAGCATGATATTCATAACTGTCTGCAATGTAGATAAAATAGAAAAACCTCACACAGCTTCAAGAAAGAATTCCAGGCACACGTCATCACCTTTTCTTTTTTCTTTTTTTAAGGGAAAAAAAGCCATTATTGCTAGGAAGTTCAGTTCAAGTTGGAGATTAAGGATCAGAGGAGAAATCCTGGCTCAGAATCATTGAAAGGAATTTTGCCAGTGATTTCCTGGAGACAGAACTCCCCCCCAGCTTTTCCAAGTTCAGATGTACACAACCCAGTATACAAAAATAAAGCTATATTTGAGCATACTTAGGGCCATTTAAGCCTCTAGCATGCCATGCATGCAAACCACTACCTGATTACCTGGTGCACAAAAGATGCTGGTGCATGCTTCATTTATGTGCATATACATGTGCACACAAGCATGTGCACGTAATGCTGGAAATAAAGGCCTAGTTTATTAATTATTTACCTGAGCCCTGCTGATCTTCTAACCACCAAATAGGAATCTACAGCATAGCAAAACAGCCACCAGAAGCCAGCACTGTATAAGAGCTGGATCCACATCTGCAGAAGAAAAGTATTCCAGGAGTCACAGCTTCTGACAAAACTTCTAGGTGATCATGAAAAAAAATTCAAACCATCAGTTACTTCTAACTTAGATGCGGGTTATTTGAATATATTTGATAGATTCTGTGTGTGCGTGCATGCTGGTCTGTCTGTCACGCAGAGGAGAGATTGCAACAAATTTTGTTCATAATTACAGGAATAATCCCGTTGAAATGAACAGGTTTATTTTGATAAGCAAGTCAGTGCAACCTCAGGACTGACTGACTGAGTTTGCCCTACTGCATGTAAGAGATATTAAGCCTACCTACTCTTCGTACTGAGTTTTTCATGTGTATCCAAAATTAAAACTTAGCTACAAATTCATAGAGATTTATCTTGAGAATGTTCAAAATCACAATGTTTGCAATTTAGTCCTTGTGATATGAGAGGATAAGTTATGTGTCTTAATTGTTATTGATATACTATGTCTTCATATTGGAGATTGACTTACCATAAAAGGAAATTGCTATGTATATTCAAGAAACTGCTCCCAAGAGAAAAAAAAAACAGGATAACAGAAAATTGTGTACATTTTAACTTCCTGATGAATTTCTTCAGTAAAACCAAAAAGAAAGTGTTGTGAATAAATTTAAAACAAGTTAAATTCCACTACATTTGACAGTTGATAACTCACATTTTTCCCATGAGTGTATATTAGATAACTGACCTTTCCTGTCTCTGTTTACAAATTCCAAAATTCTTGCCCACAGGAGCTGGTTCTTTCGCAGAATACTTTTTCATTAGCCTGAAACAATTTTACTATTTAGTTTAACTTTCCCCTCAGCCCTTTGAGTCTCTCTTTCATGTCAGCTCCATTCTCATCTGAATATCCTTTGTCATCAGTCCACAGCAGCATTCCTTCACCATATAGCAGTCAACATGGTTCAAACATCAGTGAATAAAGCCTTCACATTCCCTCCTCCAAAAGATAAACCAGTCTATGAAGTGCTGCCTTTTTCCATGGAGGTAGAGCTTAGGCCCATGAATGAATCTGTGGTTTCAAGGCACTTATCACTGGAATGCAGCTTACTCATAACATTCTCTGGGTAACTTAAGCTTAGTTTTACATCTCCATGGGTGCATCTACACGTACTGATTTAAGGTGCTTTATCTCAATTTAAGGTGCGTTAAGGGCACACTTCTACATGTGTGTGCCCTTAATGCTCCTTAAAAATGGCAAAAGCAGGTATCAAATATAGGCGCAAATAGCTATAGCATAGTAATGCACGTGTAGACGTGTTAAGGCACATTAATGCTGTGTATGGACTGACTTGGGACTAACTTTAGTCCCACATCAGTCTGCACACATGGCGTTAACGTGCTTTAATGTGTGCACGTGTAGACGTGAGCCTAAATCATCTTAATGCACATTAAACTGATGTGCATTAAATTTAGGTCTGCCTACATGCATGTGTAGACACACCCTGTTTTTATTCTAAAATGTACATTTCAAGAATAATATTAACAAAAAGAATTTGTGGATATGTTTAACAAAGGTATTGGTTTCTCCACCTCTAGCTGACCAACTGGTGTGAGTCTACAAGGCCTCAAAAATCATCAGGTAGCAGATGCCTGCCAGGAATGTGTTCTTTCCACACATCCCCTGGATAACCTCCACAAGATACGAAGTAGAACTGTCACCACAGCATCTATTACAGTGGGAATCCCCTGAGCCACTTCTGCTAGTAGGAAAGTTATTTGCCAAAGGGGAAGGATGATGGACAGCTGATTTGGTTAAAACCAAATATCTATTGGCTTTAAAAAAAAAAAGGTGTGGGGGGAGGAAATGGATTAACATTTACATTTGAATGACAACATGGTAGAGAAGAATTATTTATTTATTTGTTTGTTTATTTCAACTGAAATATTTCCTTGCGCTGTAGTGGACCCAAACACTGCATCATTGCTCAAGACACAGAAAATGAAACTTGCTAGTAACAGTTATGACGCACGAGGCACATTTCATCATTCAAGATCAATACCAAAAGTGAACAGGCTACATAAATGATAAAAACAGTTATTTAAAAATAGCTGTTCTTTTTATAATGATAACCAAAGTGAAATTAAATGGAAACCGGTACTTAGAATAACACCTCACTGTTCAAGATTTTGATCCTGGTAGGTTATCAAAAAAAAAAATTAAACTTGGGCTCTGATACAAGCTTGTATCCACTGAACAGTTAACAATAAATATTCCTTTTGTTTTTCACTAGTACTATGCAAAGCTTAAAGTGTATGATAGAAAATAGAGAAGAGATACACAAAAAGTAGTATAGATAATTATTCTCTCTTTGGAATATTTTGACACTGACATTGTCAGCAATTGGAATTGGTCCCTTGCATCTCTATGCACAATATTATATCATTTTTACACACACACTTACACACGCAGAGCATTTTGAAATCTAATGATAGTTTTGCTTATATGTGCAAAAATACTTTAACAATAATGAGATTGTAATTCTAAACTGCTATTGTTCAATCCTGAATTCCTTAAATACCAACATGCCTAATGCCCTTTTGTAAATCTTTGTTTGATCCTATTTGTCAGACTCCACGTTACTGTAGAAGCTGTGAACTTAAATGAATACTTGTTAAACACAGCATCTATACACAGTTTCCACATAAACCTATATCTATATGTATGCATATTCATATAAAGTATGGATGAATATGGCTTTAATAAACCATTACAAACAAGGTTGTCACTTGTGCATCAGTCAATGTGTGACTGAAACATGTATTGACATACCCAGGATAGCTTTAACCTAGCCATCTTGTGTGTTGATTACAGTATAACCATGCAACATGGAGCTCAGTATGGACTGCAAACCTTGCCGGAGAAGTTCAGTAATACTACAGAAGTTAGCTTGTACTGAACTCCTTCCTGCGATAGCTATGTTGCTCTAGGATCCTGAACCAAGGGGCTCAAACTAGCTCACATCTATAACAGCTGTAGTCGCACCCTTAACTGCAGTGTAGGAATACACTTTGAAGTTCCTAAGGATCTGAAATCCCTACAGTGTTGAATGCTTCAGTTTTTAGGGGGAGGGTTTCCAAGTCAACCATATTGGATGCTTAGGAATAGGGGTTACATGCTTCATCTATGATTTCCAGTAGGATTTTTAGCATACAATACCTAATTACAAAATACATCACTCAGTTTAGATCCATGGTTACCTCAGTCCCTGACAAATCAGGAGCCACATTCTGTACTCAGATACTGTACACCTAAGTTTAATAGAGTTAATAGAGTTTAAAATTATAAAAATGATTCCTCTGAAAGCATACAGATTTAGCCACTAACTAAGCAACCTGTTTGATAATGTTGTCCTCACCTTTCAGGAAACAGCTGGCTCTCCTCCCACTTCAAGTTTTTGCTACACAGTTAGGCATGATAATACTTGTAGCTTTTGGGAGAGGCAGAAATCCAGTGTGCTTGTATACATGTAAAAGGAAAATCAGTTTTCTTCAGAATAAGGGTGGTTTGTCCTTCAAGCTCCCTTCACCAAATTAATGTAATTTGCAAAACAGAAAAGAAAAGAAAAAAACTGTTTGTACCCACCGCACTCCCCACGCAGAAAGCAGTAGGCCACACATCAGTTCCATTTATCACAGAGATGTTTGCTATGAAGTCTGGGAAGCTTAACCATATTGTTGATCTGAAGATAATACCTAATGGGGGAAAAGAAAACACTTAATGCTATGACTTTTTTTCCATGTTTTGAGTAACATGCTTTCTCCCAGTCCCATTTCTCAAATTATAACCTACTTTTCATGTGTTAACGAAACAAGAACCATGAATTAGTTGAATGGAAAACAGTTTAGTTATTTAAGCTTTGACATAATCTAGTGACTGTAGTTAAAGTTGAAACTAAATATGAAAAGTGTTGAGATATACTATTTTTTTCTATTAACAAAGCTTCTGTTTAGTAACAACTTTGCCAGCCTACACGAGCGTATTGTATGAAAAAACATTTCTCATATACTTAAGGCTTAGTTAACTTTTAACATCTTCTATTTTCATTTACAGAGCATTTTCTTTCATTTGTTGTCAATGAATGAAAACAGGAAGATGTCAATATTTTTCCACTTAATACTGCTTTAAAAAATACCATTTTCATCAGTGAATGTTTTTACTTATTTGTAATGTGATAACACCATACATGGCCCACAAGAATGGCACTCAAGACAGATAAAAATGAGACTCAGACAAGGAAGATACAGGGCAAATGGTCTTCCATTGAAGATCTGTACTGTACTGTATTGATCTTTTTTTCTGTAAAAAAGGAGGGAGATGAAAAGAAAACTATTTGCACAAATTGCTGACATCAAATTTTAAAAAATGATTGGTTGAGAGAAGGTCTGGAAACTGTTTTTTATTTATTTAGCCTTACCATATCATCTGAGCATATATAAGGCAGGAAGAATAATGCATCTAGGCTGTTCACAAAAGCTAATAATAATAATAATAATGATGATGATGATGATGTGAGGGTTAACAACTGTTGCAGGAAACCCTGAATGAAGAGGTTTTGCTCTGAGCACATCATAATTAGTGGTCATACATGCTTTGTTCGGCAGGAGATTGATTAGAATTAGGCATTTTTCTGTAGATCTAATTCATAGGTATACATGCATTTTGCCTTATGCTTCCATCCCATCACCCTGTGAGCATGCAGAATAGTGTCCTTCATGACCCAAGTTCTAATAGATTTTAAAAGCCTGTCTATAGCACAGTCTCTGGCTTGCTGCTAGTATGGTTTGCTCAGAGGCATAACTGACATTTTAAAAAATAATACAAACTTTGTTGCTAAGGATTAAGGGTCAGATGATTATTTTTAAAAATTACACTTTAAGATCAATTAAATTTAGTATCTGCTGTCCTTGAAAAAAAACCTTTTATTGCATCTTGTGTGGATAGCTTTAAGGATAGATTGTTTGAACCGCAGCTGATTTTAAACTCAAGCTGTTAAACCCAAAATTTCACCAAAACCTTCACCCTTTAATCTTAATCATACAAAATATAACACACTTTCACCCAAAAACTGACAACAGGCTGATTTTGAACCCACTTTGTCAAAGGGAAGGGAGCCCAGATTAGCCCATGTCAAGGGACAGCAGGCTTGTCCTTACCTAGCCCACCGAAGATGTCACAAGCAGAGATGAGGAGAAGGATGGTAGAGGAAGAGGAAGCTTTGGGCATTTTCCGGGGGCTCTGTCCCTGTTTGGGGAGGAGCTGCAGGATACTAAGGAGTAGACTAACTGAGGCGCTGCCAGTGCAAACACCACAGAATACCCCTGGTTGGAAAGTCAGAATCAGCTCTGTGGCTGCATCCCGGTTAGGGCAGCAGTAGGTTTCTAGCCTAGGAGAAGCCATGAATGTCTGGCTGGTGACAGAAGACCAGAAGCAGAAGAAATCTGTCTTGCTACTGTAAGGCAAATTTACCTTTTCTCAATCCTTCCCATTAGACCTCAGTGGTGGGAATCACGCGATTGATAGATCATGTGCTGCTGCTGCTAGCACTAAATCCCCTGGGGCTGACTTTCTCAGCCTCTCCTAGAAAGGAGATCAGATCAGAACAACAGAATACAGTGTAATCTGAAACATGCTTCTTTCTTGCTCTGAGCCATTGGCAAGCGTTCACTCAAATATTTCTGCTTGCATTGTATGTGTTGCATGAAGATTAAGCCCACTGGAGCACAGAAGAGGATGTAAAATGAATGAAAAAAAGAGATACCAAGGGCGGAGCAATAGATTTTTAATTGCTTCTTATTTTAGCTCCATATTCACCTCAGCCTACATATCACACTTTTAATTAAATTAACTGGAGAGAAAGGCTCAAAGCCAAGCAGTTCCAAAATTTTGGAGGAACAGGAGGAGGTATGTAGCCATACTAGATCCTAGTTCTGGTCAGATCCACTTCTGCTATTAAATCAGAAATGTTAGACAATAAAAATAGAGAGAGGAAAAAAAACACATTTAGACTCAACACATGAGTCCCATTAAATTGTGAATACTGAGAGGGACTACTCTTTATCCTTTGACGTTTTTCTAAGTCTTTATGATCCTTCAGCAGTGACAAGTTAATTGACTATGTACTTCTCATGAATGTTTTTTGCAAGGATTCAGAGATCACATTTCAGAATTGGAGCAGTTTTGGTTGATTTCTAGTATAGTATTTCTACTATTCCTAGATAGAATAGTATGTTTGTGTTCAGGGATATTACTTGCATTATGGGTAAATACTTTGGGTTCAGGCTTGGAGGCACTTTGGGGAAAAGTGAGGGGGATCTTCCCTGGGGTTGAGGTGGGGTAATGGGAATCAGTGGGTGGGGATTGTGGGGCGGGAGTAAAAGGTTTTATTGTAACTGAATGTGAACTAGATGCAAATGGCTGTTGAGAGGTATGGTTGAGATTTGTGGAAGGGTTTGCTTTTATGGAGATCTGGCCAGGGAGGTATGGTTGGGGGAGAGAGGCAGTTGGAGTCCTTTGGTTTCGGGGTGTTATGTGGAGAATTGTGCCTGTGGGTTGTTTGGTTACTGTAAGCTGCTTTGAGTCCTTTGGACAGGGTGGAATATAAATCTAAAAATTAATCAATGTGTGGATTAAGAATTAGATTTCTCTGAACATTTTCTAATATATGCTAGAAATAACCTGTTTCAACTTCCACCCCTGCCAGTAAATTCATTCATTAGAACAAACACTGAAAATAAACAAGCATTACAAGAAAAAAAAACCTGAAGTGAATCAGATTTAATAGTATAAATAATTCTGAATTATTTCAAGCGTGTTCTCAGAAGAAATAACCTGATCCCTTATATATAAGGATCCAATTTAGATCCCAAGTCTGCATTCCAACATTCTGATTAACTTTAGTTGGATGTGTTGTGCATAGCAGATGCAGAATATCTGAACCTGACCTGCAGATCAAGGAATAAAGTAAAGGGGTAGAGGCCAGAGCTTGTGTCCTTCATCTGTGAGCTCATGCAGTGTTCCAGCCTGTGCTGAACAGGCAGCGAGCTCTGAGCTCATTGTGTATGCAGAGCCCAGACAAAGGGGGGGGTGTAACCTCACTGCTGCACCCCCTAGATCCTCACTAGGCCCTTACCCTATGAGTTTGTCGCTGCAATAAAGAAAACAATGGCCTGACTGATATTGAATGATGTTGTGTAGTGACCATATCATTGTTACTACATCATGCCAACTCTAAGATTCACAACACCTCCTATGAGTCAAAGTATTGCTACCTTCACAGCCAAAAACATAGAATACATTTAAATGCAACTTTGCTGCAAATGAAATACGTTTCTTTGACTTATGGTACTTCACAAAGAACATATCTTCATTTTATTAGATGATCTCAACATAATTGAGGCAGTCACCTAAAAAGAAACTCAGGACTGGAAGAGTAGAACTATGATGCACTAGCAGAGTTGTATAGTGAATGATACAATGTATTTCATTGTGTCATAGAATCATAGAAAATTAGGGTTAGAAGGGACCTCAGGAGGTCATCTAGTCCAGCTCCCTGCTCAAAGCAGGACCCTCCCCATCTAGATCATCCCAACCAATGTCATGCTGTGGCTGATGGTACAGCAAAAGCTGTGTTATCCAGCACTTTATCAACCAGAAAGCTCCACTAACCAGCATCTGAGGGACACGGCAAAAGTGAAACTGGAAGTCCCACTTCCGATTTCACCGCCACAAGCCAAGTTCTTCTCCTTCACTACTTGGACCCATGGCATGGAGCAAAGCAGCCTGCATGGGGGCCCCCCTCCCTGTCCCTGTTCCCCAGCACACTGACACCAGGGAGTGCACCAGATGGTGCACATTTGATTAACCAGCATATTTGATTAACTGGCATCCCCCATTTTCAGGGGATGCTAGATAACAGAGCTTTTGCTGTACTGATCTGCTGCTTTATTGTAAGCTTGATGCTGAACTCTCTGGGTACTAAGGGCCTAAGCCAAAATATTATATCTGAACAAGCTTGAACCCTAGGACTAAGTAAAGATTGTCAAAAAGCCTAAGGCTAAATTGATTCAGTCTTTGCAGGTTAATCTAAACTGCAAAGACTGAACCAATAAGCAAATGAACAGACATTCACTTTTGATTCAGGAAATGCAGCCACATGCCTGCAGTGGCTCAAGCCAGAAGCCAGCGGGCACTAGAGCAAGGCTTTCTGGGATATAGCCAGCATAGACTGTGTGTTCACTTCCTCTTCCTGCTACCCCTGAGGTCTCTAGGATTTTTAGTCCACAATCACAGCAGCAGGATTCTACAGGGTTGCTCATAAAGTTCTCTTCCTGCTTCCAGGTGCCTCTGGGATTTGCAGTCTACAGTTGCAGCCAGCAGTAAGTTTAGCAGGGCAGCTCTGTACTGGGGGGAAGGGAAGTTTAACCCTTCTTCCTGGGCCCACACCCCAGGCAGGGTTTGCTGGGAGGCAGTAAGTCAGCCTTCATTGCTCCAGCTAGGCAGTGGGGCCATCCCAGCTCTCTGGAGCAGACAGTCCAGCTGCAAAATGTTGGGATGCTGGGGTGTTCTGATTTAACTTGAACTAGGAAGGAATCTGGGACAGAAGTTTCATAAACCAGTTTGACCTAAATCAGTTAAGTCTGATATTACAGTCAGTCAGGTTCATCTTAAACCAGTTTCAGCCATTCAGCTGGTTTATGTTCACTGAACTTCTATTCTGTTACAGGTTTAAACCAGTTTCTGATCACATAAACAGAAGTTTATGTGTAACTTCTGTCCCTAGCCTAGGACAGGTTTGCTCCAGATGCACCCTATGCAAACAGTCTGATCACTTGCTGAAGACATTCAGCTACTGTAATGCATAGAAGGAAGTGGTACTCAATCAATGTCTGTTATTTGCATTGCCATTTTTTTATGCATCTGCTCTTATTTTCCACTGCTGTTTTTTTTATTATTTAATCAGTTGTTTGGGAAAGGACATACTGTTCTGTTGTGCTAGACAGTTAGGCTGGCTTTCTTGCTAAGATTATTCCTTATATTTGTTTGGCTCTTTCTATTTTGTAATTGCTTTCATTCCAACTAACTATTGTTATCTTTTTTTTCCTCTTGTAGATTTCTCCTTCCATTATTTTTCCCTTTCTTTCTCATTCTG